TTCACCTTTCGTCGCCAGCCCTCCCCCTTGGAATCTTAATAGGCTGCGCGCGACAATGGGGCTCGAGAAGAAAACCGAAATCCGTGATCAATTTATCAATTAACGTTCGACTACATTTTTTGCCATACAACGACGAATCAGACTCGTCAAGTTTCACAATCATGAGTCTACTCGTCATCAAGCCTTACATATTAAAATCAAGACATTTTTATATTCACGAGGTATTCTTTTTCGTGGCCATTCCTTGTAAAAAATTAAATAGTATACGTTTGAAAAATTACATTAAATCGTACGTCAAGGGATCAAAGTTACGTCGTAAAGAAAATTTTATTTTCGATGTTACGCGATTGGGGGGTGAAAAAAATTTGATTTTATTCGTGGCAGTTTCTCGGGCGGTTTACGGAGAAGAGGGGTTAATCCCGGAGAAAAAGAGGCGTCGGAAAATGGGAAACAGACCGCCGGAGCAAACAGGGTGGCCAACCGGGGTCTCGAACGGTGTCCAAACGACACGCACCGCACGGATTTCGCCCGACGAGGGCTAGAAAGAAGGGTGGAAACGATTTCGACCACCCCTACGGTTTAGCCGCGAGAACCGATGGGGGGTGTGCGTTCACGGATGAATGTCGTCGGAGTTATAATTGCAACGAGGCGTAATTAGTTTTGGAAATTTAATTATTTCCGGGCGAACGGGCGGGATGCGCGATAAATGCCGTCGGCAGCCGGTCTACGCGAAAGCCTTCCCCGACAAAGAATTATCGGAGGACTTCCTCCCCCGTCTGGCAGCCCGTTAATCCCGCTTCGAGCAACCTCGAGCCAATGGAAAATCCTCGTGTTTCGAAACGCGCGAACGCGTTTCCTTCGTAACACGCGGTAATCCGACGACAACCGTCACTCGTTGGTTTGTTAATCAACCCCGAACGCCCTAAGGACACGACTAATGTGCAGGTGTCGCAGGGCCTCGCACGCAACCCTCCTGCAACCACAACGATCGATTTTTCATTTTTACTTTCCCAATTCTTTAATTAGCATCGTGGAAACACCATTGTCTTTTTTTTTTTAATCGATCTATACGAGATTTGGAATAAATTCAGATTGTTTGCGTAGTATTTAGGCTAGTATAAAGTTATATATTTTAACTTCGATTGAAATTTTGTGAGTTGAATTCTAAAAATTTTATTCACATATTTTCTAAATTCAATTTGTGTTATCATGTCATAGAAGCGCCAGAGAAGTGTAATGGGTTAATCCAACAGGAATATTAACATCAGAACTACCGACAATTATTATATATTTATTTATATCAAATAAATAAATGTTTGCAGTTCAGTAAATATTTGACAATTTCCATTAGAAATTACTACCACTTCCGGTAGTTCTAGTGTGAAATGTATTTAAAGTCCCCCGGAGCTTTCTATCGAGCATCTAGTTTCGATTATCGAGATTTTCATGTTTCATCCGATTTCGTGTTTGCAATTTAAAAGCGTCGTTCGCAAACATTATCGAACGCATTCGCGCAAAAAGAGAGTACATTACACGAAACGTTTCGATAAGAGTCCGGGAGTCGTAATTCGACGAAACGTTATTATACCGTTCGGTTTCAATTATGAACGAAGCGATCCGCGCTGCAATCGCGCGGAGCAACGTACTCTCGATTTTATCGTACAGATTTTTAATTTGATTTCAACTTCATTTTGCCGACCGGATTGGTTCCAGTTTGCGCATACACGGTTTAAGTATTTCGAACGCGAATCGATACACCCTCGACCGGTACGAATTATATTTTTCGATCGCGGGAAAGTTACGTTCGATTGTGCTTTGATTTTTCGAGAACGGAACACGATTGTTCCCCGATTGTCTTATACAACGAATTCCTGCGTCGATCGCAGGTAAATAAATCGTGCTTGCTTTCTACGGTCGTAGAGATTCTCAAAATAAATCAGGAACGCATAATATTCTCTTCGTTTGTATGCAACGACGAAGAACGCACCATTGTTTGATTCGATCCAATCGATTTGTTGTTATAGATCGAACCGGTGTTTACAAGTTCTATCGAACGCTTGTATCCCTCGTCTGTGTTTGATCTACTATTATTCCCCCGGGTTTCCGCAATCTTCGATAACTGGGCGTTACACCAAATAGAAAGGAGAATTAATTCCTCGCCACGAAATCGTTCCAGGGAATTCGCCAAATAGAATTTCTTAGTAATTCCTACAATGTGAAAGATTTAAAAAGAATTAAATTTTTTATACTATAATTCAAAGTTGACTGAATCCAATTAATTTTTATCGGACTATTAAAACTAAATAAATAAAATAGACGGCCCTTCCAATGAGAAGAAATACGAAATCTCTGTACTTGTTAGATCGAACGAATTGTGGAACATTTGTGGAAAGTTTCGTTAAAATGGTGTCGTTTCCTAGTCGACGATCTCTAAAAAAAAAAGTGATTTACAGAGACTCCCGTTAGCGAGGAGTCCTGAATAACGCAATGGACGTTGTTTCGTGGTAGATCGACGCCGCGACGCGAGATAAAAAATTGTCAACGACGGTCGGTTGCAACGGGTCGCGACGTAAGAGTTCGCGAGAGGAAAGGAAAAATCCCGTTCCCGGCGCGCTAACGGTGCTTCTCATCGCGTCCGATCTTAGATATCGCATAGTTCGCTGGCATGATACGCACGCGTCACGGCGGACGAGCGCAGAAACGTGCCTCGTTCAAGGAACGCCGGTGACGCATGAGAAACTTTTGTAACCGAGGCTCGTTCGCCGCGATTTGCATTCACTTCGTTATGCACCGCCGGTTACCAACGGCCAGGGAACTGTTTACAATCGCGGATTTTTCCCATATGGAAGCATGGCCGTTGCTAGACCGGAGGCGTGTCGCCGTGTAATTAACGCTCGTTTACTCGAGAATCGTTCCATTAAATGTACAAACCCGGGAGAGACGCAAGCGCGACGAAGTGTGCTTCGAACCGCCTCGATCATTCTTTCCTACGTCGAGCATTTTAAACACAGGAAAACTAAGAAGTAAAATTCTTCTCTAAATCCATTTTGAATTATTATTACATCCAGAGAAGAATGTTTGCTGATTATTCGAGTCGGAAAATTGGAAAACGTAGCTTCCCAGACCACCGTGCAGGGGTTGCACTTTGAAAACTGTAGTCGTGCAGCAGAATGCGCGTGATCCAATAAAAACAGTTCCCCGTAAGGTCCGCAGAGGACACTAACGGGATTTGCGCGTGCCTTCTTATGGAGACATCCAATAGCTGTCCAGGCACGGCCATTAATCGTTCGACTAGATAAATTCCTCCGTGCGGGGATTATATTTTACAACCGGTTGCAAACGAGCGTTGCCAAACAGAAACTCCAGGCATAGAAACTTATTTCTATCGTACAGTCGAATTACCCGTATATCATAATCCCCATTAAAATGCCATCTTACCTCGCTGAAATATATATACATATCCATCGTCGAATTAGAACATCAAAACTTTGCTTCGTTTCCTCGTTTATTGCAGACCACTGCTAAATTTATTGCAGCAATATCACGGGAACGTTTCCGAGATACGCTCGATCGAATATCATTTTCATTAAAACTTGTAAATCCTTTTCGAACGTAATTACAAAATTTCGTAATCTCTTTTTACCATCGTTAATAGATTGCAAATTATTTTGCACGTATCCACAGAGGTTGCAACCTTTTTCTCGACTTGTTGAATATTTCTTTGCTAAATAAATACGATAGAGTTTCGACCTAAGTATGTATTTAATTAATGTAGTTTTACAAAACGAAAATCTAGTTCCTAGCTCAGAATAAAAACGAGACGCTCAGAGGTTGCAATAAACGAGTGTTCTCCACAGGTAGTACTGATTTTTGCAAGGGAGGGGACTGCAATGCTTATTCTCAACAGGACTATTGTTTGTATAACGCATACCACGCGTGATTATTCGTAACGGGAACGAGCGTTTACAATAATGTATCAATAATAACGGGGACGACTGTAATTCTCTCTTGGTATCCAAACACCGTGGAACTCTGTTAATACACCCTCGATTGGGGCCGAGCTCGACAAACATCCACCGATCGAAATGTCGGTTTTTGTCAACGCCCGGTTGCGTGTAAACACGTCGATTGGTCTTTCAGAAATTCATGACCGGGTCGACTGACTGGGCCCCCCTCTGGCTCCCCTGATTCGTCGCGTTGAAAAATTCAAGCCACGCGTTACTTAGCCACGATAGACAAACCGACCACGACCGCTAGACGTTTTTCAGGACCACTCTTTCAACGAGGAAACGGAATCGCGGTCTCTTTGTGCGATCTACGCGCGCTTTGTACCTCCACGGCGCGTGCACGCGTCCCGGACGATTGCGTTTTCAGAAATTAATGGCTGCTCGCGGTTAAATCCCTTCTAAGAACGACGACTCGAACGGTGAAAAATTTATCGAAACCGTCGGGCTGCCCTCGCGCATCCTGTCACCGCCATCTTTTCAAACGGATCTCCACAAAAGCTGTCGCCCTACCCGAGGCTTTGTCTGGTCCTCGACAAGCCGCGACTCTGAATACAGAGACCCCCCCCTTGTCGTTCATGAATTTTTGAGAATTCCTCTCAAACCTGGGAATCGGCGTTGCCTCCTTTTGTTTCGACGGCTTTGGTGCTCCCTTGGGTAGGGTAGAAACAACCATTGAAATCAAAGAATCGATGATCGAAGCGTTCTTGAGTGCTCGCGGTGGCTAAATGTATCGATCGTTTATTTAATTAACCTTTTTGGAATAATTGAGTGTGAACTATAGAGGAGGTATATATCTGGAACCTCGAGGTGTCTAAAAATTGCTAGCGTTATTTAATTTTTAAGGCCAACGAACCGTAACTTTGGCGTTTCCTACCGAATAAAAGAAAGTTATCGTCCCCCGGAGAGACGGGAATGGCGGCAACAAATAGTAATCGACCGAACTATTGGCAAAGAAGTTTGCACCGAGGTCTATTCTTTCTCTTTCTGTTTCAGCAATCATGGCGCACTTCTCCTTCCTGGCCGCGTTCTTCTGGCTGAACACGATGTGCTTCAACATCTGGTGGACGTTCAGGTGAGTCTTGGTTGTCCCCTTTTGTCCGCTGGTCTATGGGGGAACGGGGCTGGTTTCGTGGCAAAAGATTTAGCCACGTGTACTCTTTCGCGTCAACGACTTCGAATCGAAACCGGAGCGAATTTACGATCGATCGTCCCTAGTGAAGATTTATTTCGCCCGTGACTGTTTCTCTTTTCGCGTTTTTTCAACCGAGAATCTCGTCGCGTCGGAGGAGAAAATTGCCAGACTTTCCCACCGTGTAGAACAGCTTCCATAGTTATATAAAAATTGTATATTTTTCGAGGATCTTTAACAAGAAAACCAAAGTCGTTTATTGTAACAGATATTCAAATTATCTCTTGCGTTATTTATTCGAATCGTAAATCTCCTACTTTGAAAACGATTTAACGATTCGATACTGCCGGCAGAACGATCGCGAGCCTTTTAATCTCTCGTTCAAATGTTTGACCATTAACTAACCCTCTTCGCTGATTTCCAATTGCGAGTAATGGCCGCTGTTTACTAGCCTAAGCAGGCGTCTCCAACGAAACAGGGACAAATTTGCCCTAAATCTCGAATTACAACGCGGGTGGAGCCAGGATTACGGTCCAATTAAGGCAACTCTCCCTTATCCGAAGCAGAAACACGCGAGTCGTTAGAACATAAAAAAAAAAGAGACAGCGTTGCAATTAAACGTCCGTTTAATCAGCGTTCCGCGAACGGCCAACGGGCGTCGCGGTGAAAATTTAAAAAATTCGTCGCTTAATTGCCGTAGAATATTCCGTGGCGAGCTCGGTGCTCGTAACGGGAACACCGAGGCTCGCCCCGGGGCGAGATGTTTATTTATTTATTTCGGTTTACGCGAATGACCCATTACTGCACGCGAAATTATGAATATTACGTAACGATGTTTCAAAATAATGTTCGAAATTTACGGGCGGCAGTCGCGTTCGCGTGAGTGCCTCTGCGAATAGCAAATCCCCCAGGCACTGGGGAATCCGTTAGAAAAGTACACTTTCCTGCAATATTTATTCGTGTTAAATTTCTCTGTATAAGATACGAACACGGGTACGTAATTGCAACACGCACGGAATGCTTCGAAAATACATAAATAATGTGGGCCTTTTCACAATTTTAAGACAGTAATTTGTACATCGTTATTTACACAGTTTCAATGATAGTGATGTACAAATTAATTTCTTGCAATTGTGAAGGTGTCCACATTGTCACATTGTCTGTTTATGTATTTTCGAGGCTTTGAACTAGTTTGGATCGATTGGACAGTGTTTGAGCCAGTCTAGTAGGAACCCACGAGTATCTATCAACGGCAGCCATCTTGATTAACAAACTATCGTGGTCCCCGAATTCCGAGGGGTTTGTGGATGTTGGTTATGATCCCGGTTTGTGCAGATCGATGATTAACACCGGGTGGCGGGTTATCGACCCGGTCGAGTTTCGCGCGGTCGTCTTCGATCGGAAGGCCACTCGTTACTTGGCAATTACGCAATTGCAGCGCAATTACGCCGCGCGCTGACGCTCGCCAGCAATTAATTCGACCCGTCCGCGGCGCGATCCGCTCGCGAACGCGACGATGACCGCGAGACGAGGGATCCATCCGCGCAAAACGCCATTCGGCTTTTTATCTCTCGTTCCGTGGCGATCAATCGCGGGAAACGATTGCGCGAAATCGGCACGATCGACCGTGGAGCCGGTCGAATAACAACTATTAATGCTCGTTCGATTAATGCAATTCATCGTCGTCGGAGTAATAACGGATAGTTACAGGACGACGGTCGTTTATTTTGCGGCACGCCAGAATTGCGGGACGGGGAGTTTTAAACTACGGGAACGATTGCCAACCGAGGCTACGTTCGCGAACGATCTTTGAATCTCGCTGACTTCCGGCGAGGAGGGTGACTTGGCCCGCCATCCGGGCCAAGGGGAACAACGATCAAAGTTTTGTAAAATATTTCGAGAAAAAAAAGTGTTAAGAATTTTTAATACGAATCGTATTAATTGTAAATGTATTGTATTTGATACTATACGATGGGTCATCAAATTCTGGTTAGCTTTCAATGTAAATAGGAAATATATAACATTATATAGCTGTCTTAGAATGGTGTAACAAGTATTAAAAATAGTAAAACTTCAGACGCGTGCAGTTCCGAAAGTACTAGTGTTTTATTAATTATTAAGCCATTGTTAGCGGCGGCAAAGCTTCCTCTTTAAAATGGTTTTTGGTTTTTGACGATCCGACTTTCCGTTTAGGAGATATCGTAATTTATGTAAAGGGGTAATTTTTCTTAATTTGATTATCTCTGTCTCCGTCTGACGCGTCGCGCTGGACCTCCTTGTCGCACGTTGACCCACTGACCGAGTGACGTCACGTTTACTATTTACTACGGTCACGTGACTTCATTGATATCGCGACGTAAACAAACGCTTCGAACCCTTATATCTCCGAAACTAGCCACCGCGTCGTCTTGAAACTAAAATCGTCATATCTCCGGAACTAATAACGCTATCGACTCGTACAAACGCTCATTTTAAAGGGCTTTTTATCCTCTATCCTATGACTATACCACCTACTATAATTTATTCCGCCTTCCATGTTTGTTTTCACATTTACTTTGACCCTATACACATAAACCTCCAAGGATTAAATAGATGTTAACCCCCGACGGAAAGACGTTGAGATTCCTATCTTAAACGTTCATTAGAGGGGCGAAGATGACCACAGCCCTCGATCATCCCGTGACCAAGGCAATCTCGAAAGTTTTCTGAAAAAAACAAGAGCTTGTATTCTGAACACTGCACCCCAAGAGGGTGATCCAAGAGAATCGTTCCGAATTGCGCGTAGAGGCCCGATCGATTTCGAGCAGGGGAATCGTGGAGCTATCGTTAGTGGCCGGATCACGTTCGAAACGACTGGGACGGTACCCGAAGGGGAAGAAGCAGGGCGCCGCTGTGAGAGATGGGATCAAGATCACTCGGTCGACTGGTTAATGCGATGCAACACGGTCGCCGTAACGGGTCCGCTCTTCTTTCTCCTTTTCTTCCGCGTCTCCAGCCGATTTCTTTCGTCCGCGCCACGAACCAACTCGTTTCTCACCTTTTTTTTTTTTCGTTCTCCGCGCCCCTCGGACGCCTCTGTAGCTTCTCTCCCCTCCCGGAACCCCACGTTCCCTCGACGTCTTACTTTTCTCGCGCCACGGTTCCCTCTATCTTAACCTCTGTCGGTGTTCCTCTCCTCCGATCGCTGTTCGATCCTTTGCAGGCGCGTACACTTCCAGCTTTATACCCATTTCGCTCGTATCGAATCGCATCCAATTAACCGTATCCACTGTCCGCATCTCGACAGAGACGATTATGCACGCTCGCGGCTTCGTTTGCCGGTTATTATGCTCGGCGGAAAATTAAATTCGCACTTTCCCAATCGCCGGAAGTCGCGATCTTGTTTCTCCTTCTCGAATCCAGCGATAATTAACTGCACGTCGATCACAATTATCCCGATCGGGCATCGATTTTTTGCCGGCGGACAATCGTTTCGTATTTATATTACGCGTCGGGGAAAAAAGACATTCCGAGCAGTTAGGGTTGGTACGTTATGGTTGGCCTTCGCGAGGCTCGTTCGACGCTCTCCACATTCTACTTGCTCTTAGTGCCACTTCTTCCTTAATCGAGGTCTGGTCTTTTTTTTTCCTCTCTGCTGTAGTATAATTAATTGCGTGGGAATCCGGGTACAGAGACGGGCAACATTTTATTCGATCACACACTCACGCAGACATCATACTTCGTATCGAAATAAATTGTTTGTTTTCTATTCATCGTACAAAATTTTTATCCAAATAACTTCACAATTTTTTAAAACGTCCCTTCTGAACAAATTCTAATCGTGCAACACAAAATGTATTAATAACACACGAAAGAATATGTCACGAGGTCCCCAAAAAAAGCGTCACTTTCCTCCCACACGAAACGTCAACGACACGTGTGCGCTCGCGCGAGTTGTTTCCACTTGTTGAAGTGTCACCGACACGTTGCGTTCACGGTAACTGCGCGCCCCCCCCCCGCGATTTTCCAGCCGGAAAATTAGCCTGATGTCATTTGCGGCTGTGCAGCAGCGTTTTCCACGGTCCACCGTCGTCGTCGCCGCGTGGAAACCCCATCTCCGTCCGGCTCGTTCCCTTTCCAAGGCGAGCCGGAGTCCGGCGCGAACGGAACTTTCGACAGACAAATGGCGCAACGCTCGAACAATAACTTATCAAATTTAATTAGCAACGTTACCAGCGTCTTAATAATTGTAACCGCGCCGCGACGGTTAAGCAACGTCCAGACACGTGACGTGTTCAGTCCTAGGAAAATTGCGTCATCCGAGAAATACTTTGTTCCTCGAGTGCTTTAAAATCGTGGAGATATTCGGAGTATTAATTCTATATCAGGGTTTTATTTTATATATATTTATATACATACATAGTAGGTACATTTGTCTCAAGACAATAGATGTTACGTGTCTGTTTACCTGCGTGTATATTAACATAGATCGCGGACTGTCTTAGTGATTTTCAGTTATTCTTAACATCGAGAATCGAACATATTTAAATGTGGATGATTCTCGATAATGAGCCCGAAAAAATAGAATTCAGTACTCATTTATTTAATATAATTATTCCTCCCTTAATCGCGCGAATGTGCTCCATATTAGGGCCATAGAGACGCCGCTGTGGTTGAATGAAAAAATTATTCTCCATGTATCTACGTATCGCCAATTTGTATTTAATTTGCAACAGTTTGTTCCCGATGAAAATGGTTTCGAGCCAAAAGTCGATCGGGTTAAAAGCAGGCTCGGAACAATGGTTGCCATTGAGGCGATGTTCTCGCGGGCGAAGTGGTTGCGGCGGTTGGTAGCGCAATCGCGGCGCCAATTAGCGGTGGCCGCGGTATCGAAGCGTCGATGAGAAGCCGATTCCATCACCGTTACGCTTAATTGCTCGACGAGCCGCCTCCTCGATCGTCCC